CCCCTCCCCCCCCCCAAAAAAAAAACTGAAATGCCCCCCCCCCCCCGGGAAATTTCTGAAAGAAACACTGCTTTCTATTGATATCAAATACGATGTAATACATGAATGGAATCGGTGAAAATTCAAAACGTTTTTAAAATGACCTTTTTCTAATTTATAGGGTTTACAAAATAATGTTTCTGCACACTTTTCTTATATTTATAATAATTAATTTAAATCATTTTTTTTTTAAATTCTTTAAAAAAAAAAAATAATAATAATAATAATAAAGCTTTTTTAATATCAAATATAACAATATACCAGAAATACTTAAAAATTAGTATTTTCGTCACTAGAACTGCCCCTTAATATGTGAGGGCATATGTCAATTTGTCATACAGCGCAATGTCTTTTACATGCTGTGTTCCGACAACAACAATAGATATTTCTTTATTTTTTTTAATAGTTTTTTACTGTGCTCTGTTTCTTGTATTATTTTCATTTGTCAAATGCGCTGAAGAGGGCTCTATGCCCTCGTTCTGCTAATTCTTTTACATGCTGTCTGCAATTTCATGTTTATTTGCTACTTTTACCTTTGGGCTGATCTACTTGAGGAAGTTAATCTTACGCAGCAGACTAAAGGCTTTACTCTTGAAAAAGTGCTTACCAACCTAGAGGCCTTAAGATTGTTTCTGCATGAGAAGCACTGTCACTTGGTGGAACATGCTATTGAAAAATCACTTCTAACATCAGACCTATATGGAATTTCAGTAGAGAGAAAATTAAAGTTTAAGAAAGGAGATACTGGAGCGTGTTGATTACTTTCATTCTACACCCCAGATCAGATTATCAGCGAGCAATGAAGTAGCAGACATGTTTTAGGCTGTTCAACCCAAGAGTCTACCATCAGTGAAGAAGAATTATTGGTGTCCGTTCCAAAATGAACCTCATTTCTATGATGAGTTAATCAGAAGATGAACTTTTAAAAGAAATACCAAGGCGTAGAAAACACCTACAGGCAGCTGATATTAATTTGTACAACGTCATGTCCTAGTCAGTGTTTGATGTTTTGAAATTCACAGCTCAATGGGACTTCCTGGAATTTCTTCCAATACTCTCGCCAAGCCTTCAATTGTTTCTCTCGATCTATGTTTCTGTGGCTTCATGAGAGCAGAGCTTTTCAAAATTACGGTTTATCGAAAACTTGTTAATATTCACCATGGGACCAGTCAATGATTTCTAGCCTGGCTCTACTCTCAATTAAAAGTGATACAGTGAAGGATATTGATTATGATCAAGTGATTTACAGGTTTCCTACTTTGAAGGACAGGAAAGGAGAATTTTAAATAAATTAATTTTTTGTAAAAATAACTATACTTAGGGGGCCGTCCATAAAGTACGTCACGCTCCAGAGGTGGGGAGTGGTGTAAGAAAGTGTGACAGTTTGTGACAGGCGGGTGTCAGGCCACGTGTGACGTCACACATTTATTTTTTTAAAATTGTATTTCTAATTTATTTTTATTTTTTAATAGAATTTAATAGCTCTAAAAATAATTTTCAAAAATTTTGTGAAACATTTGAATTAGTTTCATGTCAAAATAGCATGAAACGTGTGTAGACGTTTCGGCATAGGCCTACACTAAATTCTAAGAGCAATGCAACGGCAACAGACAGAGAAATGATATGAATATGATTTTTGTTTAGGATAGATTATTACTATACTTCACATGGTAATGTTGTTTCATTATGTGTACTTAAACTATAATAAAACTGTTAAACTATTTAATTTGTTTAAACTTCATTATTAAATTAATTATTTTTTTAAAGTTGTTTAAGCGACGTGCCAGTGCTTACCATTACAAGAAAGCATATGATATATGCAGCCTACTGCTTCCCGAGAGCGTCGAGGGAGTTGGGGCGCCGAGTCTGAGTTTATATTAGGATCACCAACGAATGGCTCAAGAAGCAGGTTTTCAATTCTGGCCTGCTAATAAAAAAAAAAAAAGTTAATTGCATGCATTGAAAGGGAATTTGGTTCTATAATTTATTTCACTTAAAAAAAAAAAATTATTGTCATCATACTACATGTTCAATCCTTTCACCCCGCGGGGGCTCAAGCCCCCCCCCCCCCCCCAAAAAAAAATTGACTAGACAGCTATATGTCCTTATGTTGACTAGACAGCTATATGTCCTTATGTTGACTAGACAGCTATATGTCCTTATGTTGACTAGACAGCTATGTGTCCTTATGTTGACTAGACAGCTATATGTCCTTATGTTGACTAGACAGCTATATGTCCTTATGTTGACTAGACAGCTATATGTCCTTATGTTGACTAGACAGCTATATGTCCTTATGTTGACTAGACAGCTATATGTCCTTATGTTGACTAGACAGCTATATGTCCTTATGTTGACTAGACAGCTATATGTCCTTATGTTGACTAGACAGCTATATGTCCTTATGTTGACTAGACAGCTATATGTCCTTATGTTGACTAGACAGCTATGTGTCCTTATGTTGACTAGACAGCTATATGTTCTTATGTTGACTAGACAGGTATATGTCCTTATGTTGACTAGACAGCTATGTGTCCTTATGTTGACTAGACAGCTATATGTCCTTATGTTGACTAGACAGCTATATGTCCTTATGTTGACTAGACAGCTATATGCCCTTATGTTGACTAGACAGCAATGTATCCTTATGTTGACTAGACAGCTATATGTCCTTATGTTGACGAGACAGCTATGTGTCCTTATGTTGACTAGACAGCTATGTGTCCTTATGTTGACTAGACAGCTATATGTCCTTATGTTGACTAGACAGCTATGTGTCCTTATGTTGACTAGACAGCTATATGTCCTTATGTTGACTAGACAGCTATGTGTCCTTATGTTGAATAGACAGCTATATGTCCTTATATTGACTAGACAGCTATGTGTCCTTATGTTGACTAGACAGCTATGTGTCCTTATGTTGACTTGACAGCTATATGTCCTTATGTTGACTAGACAGCTATGTGTCCTTATGTTGACTGTACCCAGTGCCCCAAACGAATCATAGGAAGGAAAAATCAGAGTAGAAAATGAAAATGTTTGAAGGCTTAATCGCAGTGCTGTATTTACCATTAGACCAGGGGTCTCAAACTCGCGGCCCGCAGTACGATATTTTGCAAATTTAGTGACAGCAAATTTAGTGTTAATGCGGCCCGCGTGGTTTTCCCAGTCTCATATCTATAGCTTGACCCTCCGCAACGCTTGCAGTCAGACCTCACCGACTGGTCTAATTCTGATTTTTATTTTGTTTTTATAAATTTGGATCTTGATTATAGTGGTAAAAATCGTTTTAAAATCGGATTAAAAGTTTTTAATTTGTAGCATTTTATGCGACAAACATGGCCAAAGTGCGGGTTTGAGAAAACACGCTTCGAATATTGTATATACATATTTCAAAAATTGTAAAAGTCAGTTAGTGGGTAATGCACAGCCATAATTGTGTAAATCGTAGCAATCCGAACAGTATCAAAGAGTCCCTATTAAAATAGCCGCTAATGTTTACGAGTGAGGGAAATTCCAAACCTGTCAGCTTTGGTCACTTGTGCTGTCAGGTCTCTGGCAACAAGCAGTAAGAGGAAGAAAGTGAAGCCTAGTTCTTGAGAACCCTTGATGTTTTTGTTAATCTTAAAGGTTGAGCACATTGTAACATTTAAATTTATGAATTTGTAATTGCTTTTTTTGTGTGGAATACTTGATGCGGCCCAGTCTCACTCAGACTCTGCCTCTTGTGGCCCCCGGATGATTTGAGCTTGAGACCCCTGCATTAGACCAAACGATACCATGTCATTGGGTAAAATAGACACAGGGGCGGTTTAAAAAAAAAAATCATTGTAAAATATAACTAAAACATAGAGATTTATTGAACTTATACTCATAGTAAACTTTAGACTTCTAACAATTATATGAATAAAACACAATGGCTGCTTCATCCGGGTCCTTGCTTTTTGTACGACGAGGAATTCTGAAGCATACTTTTTGGGTATTTCAATGTATGCTTATATTATTCCAGCTGTCACATCTAGGACTGATCCCAGCTTATTATGTCAAGTCATGCCACGTCAGCAAAAGATACGATCAAATTCTAACATTTCTTTTTACCTAGGTTAGCCAATAGGTTTCCAATAACTCATAACAATGATCAGGAATTGATCGTCAAATAAATGTACGTCTTTGACGCCGAAAATGCCCCCCCCCCCTA